CGGCGCACCGATATAGATATCCTTGTTCAGGGACGACGACAGCTGGTACGCCTCGCGGATCTCCGAGTACGTCATCCCGCCCGCGACAAACACCAGCATGCGCTGCCGTGTGTCCGTCGCGCCGCCCCCGCGCGCGGCCTTGTGCCAGACCGGCTTCTGGCTGCGCAGCGACGTCGCCTGCACCGGCGCGCTCGCGCCCCCGCCCCGCAGGCTCGCGGCGGGCGCACCCGCCGGCCCTGGCGCATCCTTGACGTACGGGAAGAGCGTCTTGTCCAGCTTGTCCGCGACGTGTTCCTGCGTCACGGACAGATCAGCATACGTCCGCGGAAGGAGGCGCGTCACGCACCTCGAGCACGCTCCGGATGACGGGCTTATACCGTGACAGCTCGTACTCCTCCTCGGTCCCCTTCTGCTTGCTCTTCTTCTTCGTATCGCGGTCGCTCGGGCCCTATATGCGCATGCACCCGCGTCAGTCGCGTGTGGCGAGCGCGGCGCGGCGCACGTACCCGGCTAATACGCACACCCATGTGCACGAGTGCGTTGACCGCCTCCTGCTCAGGGATCGACAGCCTTGCGTGCTGGTACAGCCGCCGCCGGTCCTCGTCCGGCACGCCGTCGCGGAACTGGATGTACAGCGCCACGATGCGCACCTTGTTCGCGTTCCTATGTGCTCGTCAGCGCGGCGGGCAAAGAAGAAAGAGGGCAGAGCGGCGCACACGACCTCCCGGCTGTCGAGTAGCGGGACCATATCCTGCACAAGGTTCTTCGGGTTCTTGCCCTCGGCGGTCACGCCCGTCGCGCAGTCCTGGTACCAATGCATAAGCGACGTGCCGAGAATCCGCAAGTGAGATATGAGATACCTGCTCGATGGTGGCGACGAGCGGGAGCTTGTCGCGCTCGAAGATGCCCATGCACTCCTGCGCCATGTTCAGGTGCAGGGAGAACTGCGTGCGCGGTTCGGTCAGCGCCTGTCCGCGGCTCGACGCAACGCACGCACCTTTTCCCGCTGCTCCTGGTACTGCGGCAGACTCGCGAGCATCTCCTTCATGTCGTTCAAGCTCGCCGCGCCCTCCCTCCGCGAACGCATCAGCTTGGTCTGGATGACAGACCGCAAGGAACGCACCCCTTGAACACCGCGTTCTCCTCCAAAAACTTGTTAAAGTCCGCCATGAGCTTGTCGATCGCCTCGCGCATGTGCATGTGCCGCACTTCGGTCCACACCGAGTCCGCATCCGTGAGCGTCGCGGTCTTGTCCTCGAACGCGCCGACGGACGACTGAAACTTGTACGTGTACTTTGTGCCGTCCTCGATGGGAAGCAGGTCGTTCGCCATGGCCTGGTACGTGAACTCGTGCACGAATGGCGCGACCATGTCCATCGCGCGGTCGGTGATGAACAGCGTCCCGCGCGGCCGCAGCGGCTCCGGTTTCTGAGTGCTCGGTCAGCTCAACGGCACGGAACATACTCATAGCACGTACCGCGAACTCAGGATTCGCCTTCTTGTAGTCGTCGAGGTTGTTCTGCACGAAAAACGCGAGGATCTTGGTCGCAAAGTCACCCTCAACGGACTCGTACGCGCGCGCCTCGCCGCCGCGCGCGAGGTTCGTGCGCCAGCGGCTGCTGGCCTCGGGCGGCGGCGGCGGGCGCGTCGACGCGTGCGGCTTGAGCGCGCCCAGCGGCGGGTGATTCGGCGGCACGTAGTACCGGATGTACGGGAACTCGTTCAGCGTGATGCAGACGTTCGCAATCTGGGCCATGAGCAGGGCTGTAGAAGTGGGACGCAGAGGCTCACGATTTTGGCGGCGAAGCGGAGCTCTTCCTCGAGCCGGTCGCGCGCGGCCTTGAACTGCGATTCGCTCCGCGGGGGGCTGTAGATGCCGAAAAAGAGCTCCGGCGCCTGCAGCGAGAATGTCTGCGCTTCCGAGGCTGTGGCGAGTCAGCCAGAATGAAGAAGGCATACACTGGACTGACCCCAGAAATTCACGAACAGCTCCTTAACTGCGCGGAGGTACGGCTCCGCCGCGGAAGACGCTAGCCGCTCAAACAGCCGCTCCTCCAGCCCTGCGCAAGCATCAGCCACACACCCAATCCACACAGAAGACGCCTCTTGCCGTCGATGAAGAACATGTGCGCGGCAGCATACTGCCTGGTGTTGGTAAAGTCCTTGATGACGCGCTCGACATTTTGGCTCGTCGGCATGAGCAGATACAGCGCCTCGAACTCAGGCTGGGGGTCGCGGTAGTTGGTGATAGATTCAATAACTGCGGGTGCTCAGTGGCATGCATTGAGCGGAGGCATTGGACGCACGGGTAACATTCTCCTCCAGAATATCAAATTGCTTGAGCACGGAGCCCAGGAGCTTCTGCGAGTGCTCGTCAACGACGAGGATCTTCCATTTGCCTGCGGGGTTGACGGATCGGATCGCGTCGAGGAACTCTGGAGCTCAGGTCAGACATGAAGGGGGGTCAATTGACGACGGGTGCGCACTGGAGCGGACTGTTGTTATGAGGGAGGCCATTTACAGATCCTCCGAGGGGCTCTTTCGATTAGCCAAGCGAAATGCTCGTCCGAGCAGTCAAGTAGAGTAGAGTCAAGCCAGTCAAGCAGAGTCAAGTCGAGCCACACAGTCAAGCCTCGTTCCTAGCCAAGGCAACGGCGGAGAAACGAGATATGGATCACGTAATGCACACCTCTCTGCCAAGCCGCTCATCATCGCCCTTTGAGGGGTCTTTAACAGCTTTGGCTGCGGGTCGGGCTCAGGCCGGCCAATACTTGAAAAATGTTTACTGATTTCAGGGTTGTAGGAAGATAACTCTTCCTGGGCCCTTGCCATTGGCCAAAGTCTCATTGCTGATTTCAGCGGTTAGAAAGACAGTTCTTCCTGGTCCTTGCCAATGTCAAGTTCAGATACTTGTCTATAATCAAAGGGCAATCCTGCCCACTGGCAGCTGCTGCCAATTCATGCTTCCCTTGGTAATATATTCTCCTCCTCCTTGGAATGCCACTCTCATCGTCGTCAGTGTTTCCCCCCCCCCAGCACCTAGCCTTTGGAGCTCGAGAGAGGGTGGTTGTGGGTGGTTGTGGGCATATGTACATGTTCGAACGACTTTATGCGCTATCCTCTACCTACTCCCTAATATTCCAGCGGTTCAGGGCTGCAGCGACTTCGGTTTACCCGACCAGGTTCGGAGGCCGTGTCCAGGAACTCCGTCCGTTTCCCATTTCAAGACGTGAAGGTGGATACTGATACTAGTTCACTTTTCGAGGTTCAGTGGTGCGACGGTACGGGATTGTATACTGAAATCCGTGAACTCCGCTCTGTGCCAACAAACAAATTTCTTTTTCTTGACAGGCAATTGCATCGACGTGCTTGTCATCTTTATCGAACGAGGAACAAGTTAGAATCGATAAAGCGTCTGTCAAGAGAGACTACTTGTCATCCTGTCGCTCCCGGCCGCACTTCTCGTGAATCAGCTGCTCAGAGTTCCCACTCTCTCCAGCGTGAAACTACAATGTGTTTCCGCTGAATGGGCCATTTTTGAACGGATATCGGACCTTTGTTCTCCCGGGATCATACAGCTCGAACTCATCTGCGCCGGTGTACCCCACAGTTCTGACCCTCACGTCGCTCACACCGTGCCTCCTCCTTTTCGACCGGAATCACCGCAGAGTAGAATCCTTGGGAGCAGGCCGTCACAAAACAACTTCTCCTTTGATTTACCCGCCACTAAGATGTTGTCGATAGGTCGATATACGGAGATTTTCTGGTGGAAAAGGATTGTACCGATCCTCCGAAGAATTGTTGCCCTGGACTTTAATATTATGGTGCGCATTTCGTATCCTATTGAATCGAGGTGCTTAGCGATTTCAGAGGGATGCCAATATCATCGACCTCTCTCTGTGCTCAAACTTTGCATTTCTCCGATTAGATCCCGGGATGCTCTCAAACGCACTCGGCGTTTGTCGATGATAACTAACTCGAATCGCATCCCAAGATTGCAATTATATTGTTCGAGGTCGTTCCTAATCTGGAAGATTTTCGGCTCACGTATGTATCGCATAATTTCTCCGTCCATTCATTACCGCTTCATGTAGCCACCTCCAAATCAATAACTGCCGCTTGACCTTCGCAGATGCCGAACCTCGTCAATATATCTCCGTCCTGCATTTACGATTATCACGTCTTTCGATGGCTCGAAAGTCCACGGCCGCGATTCAACGCGCACTGGAGCAATTGGCTCTAGATTTCCGAGGCGAAATGTTCATGTAATAACCAAGTTCAAGTTTACAGGCTGCGAGCATTCTTGTGACTAACCAGCAGTCCGGACTCGGAGTTGATCACTCTGCCGCTGATGCGCTAGCTAGACTCGACAACGGACTCTCCCCGCCGACACCTCTCAGGCTGGTACCATAGCAATCACACATCTCAGACTCTCAGCCCCACCCCGCAAACCTGAACTCAGGTGCCTCCAAGTCGGCGCCACCTGTGTTTACGACGCACGTATCCCATGCAGTCTGTTAACGGTATACAAGCTCAAGCCCGTGTGAGATCAAGGGCGCCAAGAAAATGCTCGCAATCTTTCTTGAAACATGGAATGAACCAAAATACATGCCAGAGACAACGCGCCCGGATGCGACGGATATCGCATTTATTAATATACATGCTACCGAGGCCCCTTCCCTCCACCACACCAACCACTGCCCCCGAAAATCCGAAATTGAACCACATCACGTGCTCTTCGCACCGTTCCAAAAAGCTCCTGCCAGTCTCAGTCTGAGTCTCCGAGTGGGGTATGAAATTGAATGGAAGAGTTGAACCCCCTGCGAGAACTCAGTAATGTAATGCTTCGCTGCTGGGTATAGATGGGTCCTGGGCATAATGTCAATTTAAATCAAGAACTGTCTGTTACATAGGCAACGCACCTTTTTCATTCTTCAGGACGGGCACCAGAGCGAAGAAGAAAAACAAAAACAAAACAAAAAACATACGAACCAATCCCATGCATCAGGGGGGAATCGAACCCCCGGCGGGTCGAACCCGCTTATACCACACATCACGTGATGAGTTACGATGGCAACGACCCAGGTTACCACTACCCCACTGATGCGATGCATGTTTTGGGGTGAGGGAGGGTAACCCAAGGAGGGAGGGGAAATTGCACTAAGGCCGATAGGGGGGACGACTTGTGATTTTTTTTAAAAAATTGTTGGAGGAGGCTTGGAGCTTTGCATGAACATGGCCTCGGGAATCAGAGATAAGTAAGGCAGACGGTGCAGGCTGAGCGTGCAGAGATATGATTCAGAGTCAGAGGCCCAGTGCTGTCTCTCTCTTTATAAGATTAAGCTGTCTGAGGCCTTTTGGAACTCCGCTCGGGTATCCCCGACGCTTCCGTTCAACTGATTCACATTTCTACTTAGTTCTTACGTGTCCCTGGCGTTGATCTGAGGCCTCCACGTCGCGTCCCGACAGCTAATAAAGCGCCGCCACCACTTTACGTCGTTCATCCAATCCCTCTTTATTTCTGAAATCATGTACAACCAACTTGCAACCAACCCAAGCAGACGGCTTACAGGGAAATAAATTTACAGCCCAAGATTCCGACCACTCGTGACTCCATGCTCAGAGTCTTGCTCAGAGTGGCGTCGAAATATGACAGTAGATCAAAGGCAACCCGATAGAGAGCCTCAGACAAATACTAGCACAATGCCAGGGTCCTCTTCACCGCTCCTTCAACCTCCAGTGCGAGCGTCAATAGTGTTGTTCAAAGTTCCCGGTTTTTGTTTTCCTACTCGTGCTCCTACTTGCCTCCTACTTGCAGTTTTGGCTGTAAAATGCCAAAAACTGAGCCAGTAGGACATTGAGTAGGAGACCTAATAGGAGCATCTTTGAAACCCCCCCCCCCAGCATTTTACAAGTAGGAAGCAAGTAGGAAAACCCTCCTACTCGGAAAAACCCAAAATCTCAGCCAAAATATGAGTAGGAGAACAAGTAGGAAGTGCAAGTAGGAGAGTTTTTGCAAATAGGAGGCTCCGAGGCCCCTACTTGACTTCCTACTCGTTCTCCTACTTCAGTTCAGGAAGGCAAGTAGGAAGGCAAGTAGGAGAGCAAGTAGGAAGGAAGTAGGAGAGCAAGTAGGACAACTTTGAACGACACTAATACAGACAACACGCAATCTTATCGTGTTCAGACCACCAAGCATAATTTCCTTTGCACCAAACGTTAGCCGCCAGCGCTAAATTTTCAAATATTCTTCAAGACCCCGGGGCTCGAAGTCAATGGTGCGTGCTTGCGCTGGGACGCAGCTTCTTGGCCGTAGCGACGATGTACGGAGGTATCCTTCCAGCCCATTTGCGTCGGTCCCCAGTCTCGAGGGCGCTCTTCGTGTAGTTGGGCCAGCGGAACAGCCCTGCGGGCAGCTCAGGTGTCCTGGGTGCCACGGCGCTCGACTGCTGCACTTAGAGAGTAGGATTATTTGAGGATTATGGTATTAAACAAAAAAACACAATTAGAAAGAATTTGAATATATCTTTTATTTCGGGAAACAGTGGTTGAGTCAAGGGGTGGCCGGGGCGCGAAGCGCCCCGGACGCCTCTTGTTGAATATTAATATTGCGCGGCGCCGGTTTTCGAAGGCGGGCCCTCAACGACGCAGGTTCCCACTACCTCAATGATGCAGGGAGCGTGAAAGGCAGGGAGGGCTCGGGTTGGAGGATTTGATGGTGCTTTTTTGTTTTCGTTTTTTGAAAGTTTAAGTGAGTCGAGTCGAGGTGGTCGTAGCCGGAATACATACCTTTGATGGTTGATTATAAACCCCGAGTAGGTCGGATTCGGATTCGCACGGAGGCGCGCGGAATTTATAATTAAAAACGGTCTGGACCTACAACTAGCCGGTTGATGCGTCGGTGGTACTTCTGTAAATATTAGATGATGGATCGCGTACAGCGCCGGGCCGCGAGGGGGGTGCAGAACTTGGGATCGGAGGCAGATCGTGGCGAGAGTATAACAACTTATCGCGCGAGATAATCCAGCTCGAGTTTATACTTCAGACGCGCGGATCGGTGCCCGGTACATACGGACCTGAGGCTCTAGGGATCCCCACCGTAACCGGTCATAATTACGGGTACCGTAAGCGTACCGTAAGGTGCCTCTCCCGGCTACGGTTACGGTTACGGTTACGGTTCGGGTCGGCGGGAATTCGACGAGGGACGCTTCTTGCAGTTGGGGGAATTTGATTCAGAGCCTTGAGAAGCTTAAGGACACAGGGAAGTAAGTACGAAGATAAGATAAGATGCTGGATACATACACCGTGGGTGGACTCGCGAAGCCTCGCCGTAACCGTACCGTACACCCACAATGAAGTACGTTTACGATAGTTCGTAACTGCATGCGGCACAGTGCCAGTGGGGATCAGCCTGAGATGTGCGGCCCGTTGGTGCGTGTGTGAATAGTCCGTCTTGTGCAGGGTTGAGCTGAGTAACGTCGATGCATGCGGTTGTGGAGGATTTGGATAGGAGGGGAGGGGAGGGGGGGGTGGGGCGTAGAATTATTTGAATAGTTCAGTGATGCGACGAGCCCGAGCCCGAGCCCGAGCTGCACGCGGATCTAGTACGCATTGCATGGACTTTTGGCTGTTGGCGTTTACATTCTCTCTCTTGCGAGGGTTGTGAGGCTGACGTGAGTTTAGGAAAAGTAGGCAGAGAAGACTCGGAGGTGGTGTGGATTACCGTAACGTTCAGTCGACTGCACGGAAAAATCCAATTCAAAAATAAAGGGAAGGGAAAATGGAGCCCATCGGCGTCTCTTTAACTAAACGATCCATCGTCTCTGTAAATAAACGATCCATCGTCTCTGTAAATAAACGATGGATCGTCTGTAAATAAACGATGGACCTGAAATCGTCGCTTTAAATAAACGAAGGACGCGTGGAGGCGGGACGCGGCTCCGTACATATAGAGTGGACATATGTCGAAACCCGCGATGCAAGGGCGGGTTTGTCAGACGCGGGCAGGGACCTGCACGGAATTTAGAGACGGTCTGGGCATACTACTAAGAACCCTGACAGTGGTGGGCGGAGGAGCACTTGGCCCATCATACATGGTGTATGGCGTCGAGAGCGCGGCGACTCGGTGCTTTCGGAGCGAGATAGTGCGGGTGCCCGGTGCTTAGTACTCAGCCAGGATACGGACCTCAGTAATAGTCTTAGCCCGTTGATGAGCGGATAGTCCGTCTATGTCCTTCCGTGCACTGGCAGGGTCGAGCTGAGTAACATCGATGCATGCGGGATCTGGATAGGAAGGGGGAGTTGAATATTAAGTAGTTCCGCGATGCGACGAGCCCGAGTAGACCGTATGCACCCGGTGCATAAACGAGGGACCTACACATGGATTGATGACCGGATAGACGGCGACTTTTCATTCTACCCGCGAGATGATGAGCGAGGGTTGTGCGGTAGATGTGAGCTTGTGAAAAGTAGAGACCGAGGGTGGAGAGGGCCGCGGGACCGTTGAAGTTAAGGTGAGATGAGAGGGCGTTGCTAGGTTGAATGTAGCCTATTGAAGATTCGAGCCGGAGATAAGTTGCGCGCTTAGATATCGGAGTCGAAGCGAGCGTCAGTGGAGATTCCTATTCGGGATGGCACCTGGCGGCGTGACCTGCTCACCTTGTTTCCCGTCGTCGTCGATGGACCGACCGCTGGGCCCCCGCGCCCCCCCGCAAGTCGAGCGCCACGCCGCCTACGAAGACATCTTCGGCCGCCGGCCCGTCCACCACCAGCCCCAGCGCCCGCCGCCGCCGTCGGCATACGGCCCGCCGCAGCAACACTACCCCCCGCCCGCGCCGTACGCCGCCTACCCGCACCGCCCGCCCGTCTACGCCGCCGCCCCCGCCCCGTCGCCCGCCCCCGGCCCGTATCCCGGGCAGTACTACCAGCCGTCTGTGCACCGGTCCGTGCACCACCCGTACCCGCAGGGCGTCCCCGCCGCCGCGCCCGACCGCCCCCTCGACCCCAGCGGCCTCACCCCCGCCCAGGCCTACCAGGCCCAGGTCGCCAACGCCCACAACGGATACCCCCGCCCCCCGCCCCCGCGCTCCCCCGCCCCGCCCGCCCTCAGCGTCGCCGTCGGCGGCGAGGGCACCCTCGGCATCAACTTCGACGGCCCCCCGCAGGAGGACGACGACGACGACGAGAGCGAGCTGCCGTGGGCCCGCCGTGAGTGCCTGTTCTCATTCCATTCGTTCGTGCGATCGTCGTCGCTCCGTCGTCGGCTCGTCGGTTGCCCCGCGCCCGACGCAGACGGGGACCTGAGCATCGATAGCGCGGCGCGGTGCAGCGTGATTGCGGGCCCGCATGACGTCCGTTATCCATCGATGCATTCCACATCCACCCCCGACGTCATGCCCAGCCCTCCTCGCTTCGTCCACGCGCCGCGGTCCCTTCTTTTTCTGCCTCCATTTATTTGCCTCCTGCTTTATTCCCTCTCTTGCCTCCTGCGTTATTCCCCCCGTCCCTACCGCCTTCGCTTCACCCTGTCTCTCCTCTACGCTTTGCTTTACCCCAATCGATACAAACGCCATACTGACGCCTACCCCGTCTATCTAGCTGAGCCGTCCCAACCGCACGCACAACCACAATCACAACGTGAGTCGACCTGCTGTCTATTCTCTATTTCCGTTTTCTATTCTCCGTGCTATTCTCCCTCCGTGCTATTTCTACGCGTGCCCGCGTGCGCCCTGTGGCCGGCTGTTCTACGGCTCTTCTCGCGCTGCACTCTTCGCCCTCTCGCGGCGCGCAGCGCACCCCACCCCGTGTGTCGCCCGTATGTGGCAGCGCACCGCCGGAGGGCACGCAATACGTGGTATGCATCTCGTACCATGGCATTGAGCGCCGGGGCGTCAATGCATTACTAGGGTGTGGCGGATCGACGGCGTTTCGGGTGTGCTTCCGTTTTAGCGAGGCGATCCGGGCGTGGGGACGCGGGGCGGATGCGCTGGGGGTGAATGAATGGATGGTGGCGCCGTTCTCTAGTAGGGGGAGGCGGCGGCGTCTTCATTCGGTCGGATGGACGCGTTTCACTGCGATGTGATGCGATGCGTATCGACGCGGCGCCAG